CACAGGGTCAGCTGGTGGGATGGCTGTGTCTGCTGGCAGTAGACGACATTTCTTCGAAGTACGTTTGCCATCTCTCAGTTATTTCCTGTGGTCTTCTTAACGTTTTCCAAGCTTATCCTTCACATGGTTGAAGTGTTCCATATCCTTTGCGGACTCTGCCTTCCCTAGCGCTATTCGGTATATATCGCGCTCTCCATCACGAGATTCCAATTTCTTATACAGCTCTTCTACGTATGCTTTCTTCGCTTCATTGACACATGCTTTTGCAGCGTGCTTCGTTTTTAGGTAGAACTGTCAACCGCTTTCCGATTTCGACTTATGCCATTGTTTGTATGCACTCTTTTCCTTAAACAACGTTTAAACCTCATCCCACCACCAAATTTCTTTGTCGATTCTTCTTCTCCCCGGCTTCGTGTGACCCAGTAAACTCCTTGCTATCCGATGCACGTTACGCTTCAAGGCTGACCATAACTGTTCTGGTTTTTCGCATAAGGCCGGTAGAGTACTTACCAGAGCTTCTTTGGCCAGAGAGTTCCCTTTCAATTTCCACCTCTTGATTCGTGCTTTATTATTGATCATGGGTTTTCTTGTTCAACCGGAATTTTTAGGTCTAGAAGTAGTGGCTTATGCTGAGGTATGCAGTTCTCACCCGGTATAACTTTGCAATCCTTTATGTTCTTTAGGTTATTGTAACGCGCCGTCCAGTAGTCAATTTGTGTTAGACGGTCTCCACTTGAATACGTAATCAGGTGTTCATGCTTTTTGATGTAATAGGTGTTGACTAATGCTAGGTTGTACGCTGTGGCAAACTCTAGAATACGCTCGCTTTCTTCATTGCATGTGCCGTATCCGTGGTTCCCGTGACACTTTCCCGCATCATTTCTTTTCTCCCCCACATGACCGTTTAGGTCTGCTCCGAGCAGGAGTATTTCATCCCGTGGTATGGATGTGATGTAATCGTTATGCTTTTGCCAGAATATGTCCTTTTCTTCCTATCGCGTGACTTTCCACCCTTCCATTTTGTTTCCACTCGTCGTCTCCTCAGGAGATCCGCCAATTCTCGATGTCGTCCAGTGAGGGTTCC